TTGTTGGGTCCAAGGTTTCAAGGCGAATGTAAGAATTTGCATATAATTAACTATTCGAATGATAATTTTACTATATCTTCGTAAAATTATTAATTTCACTTCATTATTATAGCCATAAATATTAATTTAAGATTCGCTTGTTATCTTAAAAATATGTTTGAAAAATATAAGAAATAAAAAAAAATAAATACTATCTATTAACTAGCATTCATGTGTCGCACTACGCGTTTTAACGTATATTCAAGTAATATAAATTTTCTCGAATAACAGTGTTCTAAAAATTACAGAAATTTTTAAAAAGTAAACTGACAGATCAAAATATTAGCTAGATGATTAAAGGAAAAATATCATTAACTTGAAGAAGAAGAAATTCTAACGCAAAAGCAAAACTATTTCAGTTTTAATTTTAATTACAATAAATTTTAAGTTTATTATCATAGACATACCAGACATTCTTGTCAAGAATAGTACGTTAATTTTTTAAATAAACTGAATGCAATGGAATGAAGATACTACAAAGAAACTTTTTGGTGACTTATGTATACGTATAAGGCACCAAGGAGAATAAGAATGAGAGAAATAAAAAGATAGATAAATATTTATTTTACTCACAAAAAAAAAACTGATACATCATAGATAAAATATAATTTGAATATAAAATTATCAGTTATATTATACAAATATATTAAAAAGAAATTGCAGATTTCTTACGTAATAATCTTCAATGAAGTATAAAATTGATGTACATAAATTAAATAATACGGAATAGATGAATGATAATATTTATCAAATAAAAATAATAATACTCATATATCTTGAAGTCATACTTAAGATGCATAATCAACCATCATAATAAAAAGAATGTTTCTTCTATAAAATATTTAATTTAATGCAGTATAAATAAATAAATGATAAGAAGCGCGATTCAATATGCAGCGCCTTCCAAAAATTTAATCTATCAATATAGAACTAAACGTATTTTACGTTAATATTGATAATTATTATTTAAACTAATAGATTATCAACGTTGGTTAAAAAAAAACGAATAATTCTAAATTAATTACAACAGCCGCTAAATATTATTCAATAATTCGTTTCTCATAAGATCTTGAAAGAAATTATGCATTTTGTCCATTCTAATCCAGCATTTCTACCTTGGAACATAAATTTTGTGAACGGTGCTGTAGAGCCCATCGATCATTAAATCCATGGAGACATATAAGTGAGCCGTAATTTAGGTGAAAGATTATTATATGGCAGATATGCATTGCTCTTTCATACTTATCAAGTATATAACTGCAAAAACTCAGACTTTACTGAATATGATTTATTTTAATATCACCTCGTGTCAGCTCCTAGTCTTGGCATTATTTTTTAAGCCGATACCAATACAACCTAAACAAATCGAAATTTATTTTTAAATAGTCTGAAATACGTATTGGAATTACAATAACTGACAACTTGAATGTCTCCAATTTATCAATAAAGAATCACAAGTGCATATTGTGACTTTAATTTCAGTAACATAGAACAACTATGCCACACCCGCTACCCACACGTAGTTATCATATTTTTACGTCAGTTAAGTAAGTCAGAATTGACCTCTCGTAGATGTTTGAAAGTTGTCTACATGAATATCTAAAGATCATCCAAATACAATGTGGCCAATATGCCTGGCATCAAACGTGTTATGCAAGTCATTATTGTACAGGCGAAACAGCGGGGGTCGCAAGTCTAAGCCCTGAAAATTCATAGTCGATAACCAATCTAATGTGTCACGAGACGTAACGATAACTTTTTGCTCCCTATTAATAATAAATTATTTGATCCATAGAACTATGAACTATCAGAGATACACAAGTATTATGAATGAAGAAATAATATCGAATTTCTCGCTGATATCAAACAAAAGCGAGAACATTAGCAATAGTTTGCTGATACTAATTGATTCGCCCTCTATTGATAATAACGAGTTGTGTAGCTCTTTGATCGCAATGATATCTAGCTCGGGTCAGTTAAAACATCAAGATGAATAAGAATCATTAAAAGCTAAATGACGAATTTTTCGGAAAACTATAAAATAACCAGAATCAGAAAATAATACCGTACAAACTCTGTTTTTGACAAGAGTAATTTTGACAATACATCAGTCAATTAGCAGAAAAGTCATTCCTACAACACGGCATAGAATACCATACTCGTCTCATGAAGAGTAAGCAAGAGCGGCGAGTGGGTTGGTGGGAGAGCGGCAAAGAGGGGGGAGGCAGCGAGGGAGGGAGAGAGGGCAAAGAGGGGGGAGGCAGAGAGAGAGAGAGAGAGAGAGCACAGGTGAACCCGGAGGTGACGGCAGTGGAACTGGTTTAAAGGAACGCCGCAGTCGTAGAGGGGACAATGTGGACGGAGTGAGGGACCTTCCATATTCAATCCTTCTCGTTCTCGTATTTCTCTTCATGTAGCTGTCCTCCTTATACAGGCTCTCTCTCTCTCTCTCTCTCTTTCTCTCTTCTACTTCATCTTCTTCTTCTTCTTCTTCTTTTTCTTCTTCTTCCTCTTCTTCACCCACTGTATCTCCGTTACACTATCTCTTACGGACTTCTTCTCTCTTACAGTCTTTGATTTGCCACTCCAGCATTATGCATTCTTTTCATTCCTCCTGTTTCTACTACTACACTAAATTTACTAAATTTTTCATTGAAAGGAAGAATTTTTATTTTATTATAATTATTTAGCTTGCAAAAATCACTAATAAAGAATAAGTTTATCAATGCGGTATGTTTTTATGTATGGTTTGCATGTATACTTTTTTCAATTTTATTACGTTTCCCAAGGCTTAAGTTTAGTTATAATTGAATGAATAATACTTCAATTGTGTTTTCTGTCATTTATAACAATTATATTTTTATTATGACCTTTTTATGCAATATGTTTATTGAATATAAGCTGATTAAATGTTATGTTTAAAAATTCCATGAATAACTGAAAGGTGTGTTTTTTAATCCAATGATTATAATACTAAACAATATACTTTATGGATCTATGAATTTGAAAGAAAATGTTCTTCGATTGAGTTATATTCTTATTGATTTCATACAATTTGATTTATTTCGAAAAAATACGTATCATCGCAAAAAATTGAAAAGAAAGTGTAACTAATATTTCCTATTGATTGGTGAATTTATATATCACCATCCTTAATATGTCAAATAATACCTTTTAAAGTATCAGACTCTTGAAATTTATTAGATGTTATTTGCATGCTGAAAAATAAATTCTTTTCGCCAAATGAATTCCACGCTTTTCTTTAGTAGAAAAATAATGCCACTATTAATCAATTGTTTAAGCTAGTTTTATTTTTCAATAAATATACGTTAATCAAAATAGAAAAAAGTAATATTGCGATATTATTGTGATATACAGAAAAAGAAAAGAGTTTGCCAATTTATTAATTTCGTATATTTAGCAATAACCTTATAATAAATTTATATCTATATGTTTATTTTGAAACAATATGTAAATGTAAAAAAAAAATAATTTTTTGTTATCAAATATTTCAGGAAAATACCACAACTATAGTTTAGTACATTATTCGTACCAATTGCAATTTTCGGCAACTTATGAATTGAAATTTTAATTACATAGAGAGCGCAAATTTGTGCCAATTTCTTCTCGTATTTAATGTAAACAAGAATTTCGTGCAGTGTCTTAAAAATTTTGCTTAATACTATCAATTTTTGCTCTAGCTTTATCGCAACTGCATGAAGTATATAAAAACTTTCAGCGATAAAAATATAAATGTATGTATGTAAAAGAATACGCGATAAAGATTCGTAAAAGCAAACAGTCGACATAATGAATCAAGAAATTTATATCAAATTTGATGTAAGTTAAAAATTATTTTTTAACAATCTGAAACTTATTTAAAACTAATTTAAGATATAGGTATTGAATTATATTGTTGTAAATTTAAGAAAAATATAAGTAAATGAAATTTTCTTAAATATCCGCGTAATTAGCTTAGACCAATTATAGACATTTACAATATTGATTAAAATTTTTTTTTTTTTTTTTTTTTTTTTTTAATATTTTAAAATAATAATTTTGTGTAATTACGTTATATTCTTCAAATCTTATCGGAGTTAATATTAAATAGGGTAATTATATTGTAAATTAAGTATAATTTGTAAAAGCCACTTTTATTGTACTACATACGAATTTGTATCGAGGAATATTCAAGTAATAAATCAGAGAAATATATTTATTTTATTTTATTGTATGCGTTTTATTAGTATTAACGTCTGCTCGTAATTTATAAAAGTAATAAATAACACAAGTGTTTTTATTTAATTTTGTTAAGCGCATTTTTTACAGTACTAATCTCACCCGATATAGACATAATGAATGCAAAATCACTGGCTGCATTTAATTTATCTCGGAAAATTTATTATTCTAACGGCGATGATGCTGTCGAAAAATAGGTGAATCCTTGATTTAGGTTAAATAGAAAATTTGTTCCCATATTTTTTATTATTATATTGTCGTTAAGAAGTATAAGGGTAAAGAAAAACGAAATATCCTTAGCAGTGTTCAGTACACCCCTACTTCTCACAATGGAGACGTGGCCGTAAGGCGGCAGTAAGAAAGTCAAACTCCATGTCGCCGTCGACCGATAGATAGAGAGAGAGAGAGAGAGAGAGTGAGAGAGAGAGCAAGATCGACCCAAGAAAGGGAAATAGTGGGAGAGACGGACGAAACACACCAGTGAAGGAGAGAGATAGATAGAGAGAGAGAGAGAGGGTGACAGAGAGAGTGAGTGAGTGAGTGAGTGAGAACGAGTGAGGGAGGGAATCGAACGGAGGGGATATTGCGGCGGCAACCTCACCGATTATGCTACGCGTGAGTAGTGGGGCTGGCTAAGCGGGGAAGGAATGATGAGGGAGCGGGAGGTTAGGGGAATAACCGCAACAAGTAGTCGTTTACAGTTATAGTCAGTCCGTATCGGGCGTTCGGTCAGCTGAGACACGCACGCGTCTCGTTTCTCTCGCGCGGCTCTTTCGCACTTTAATTTTCAATACTTTTTCATCTTTCTTTCTGTTGAATTGTACGATATTGTACTTTCCAGCATTATCGAGGAAGAGTGACAGACAGAAAGAGAAAGAGAGAGAAAAGCGAGAGAGAAAGGGAGGGAGGTAAACGGAAAAAGAAAGAGAGAGAGAGAGAGAAGGAGAAAGAATAAACAGTGACGCCGCGTGTGAAAAGTATAAAAGCAAGACGGCTGATCCACAAAAGTGTGTCCGTTCATCCATTCATCTGTTTCTCTAGATCATTAGATTTTGGGGGGGACGAGGACGAGGTGAGATATTTTCTAATTGTGGACGGAAAGTTGCATTCGGCTAAGAATTTTCCCTCATGACGTACCAAATTCCAAGCGAAAGATAAAATAAGAGAAAAAGAGAGATTGAGCGTGTGTGTACGTGCGTGCATGCGTGCGCGAAAGAGAGAGAAGATGTGTCTGTCCGTATCCATTTGTATGTGTGCATGTGAGTATGTGAAAGAGAAATAAAATGAGAGAGAGAGAAAGAGAGACAGACAGACAGACAGACAGGGAAAGACAGAGACTGAGAGAGAGAGAGAGAGAGAGAGAGAGAGATAGACAGACAGGGAGAGACACAGACAGGGAGAGACAGAGACAGAGACAGAGTGAATGTGTGCGTGCGTGCGCGCGCGCGCGCGCGTGTGTGTGTGTATGTGTGTGTGTGTGAGAGAGAGACTTTTTTACAACTTCGCGTGACAGTACGAATTTTTCGGTCGCGCGTTATTTTATAGTATGTGTATGCGCGGTTTTTCTGTGCTTCTTAACGACCGACAGTCTTATTGTACGTATGTTATGGCGAAAAAGACAAACTTCCACTCCTTTGCGGAAGGAAAAAGCGGATAATTCAAGCGACCAAATCGTTCCGAGTAACTTCGGCCATTTACTCCAATATACGGTAAAATAACATTTTTAATCGTAGCTACAGAGTGGCTCTTTTTTCAGAGTCTCTTTTTTTAATAAGTACGTACGAGCAACTCTCTACTTATGTAGTAGTAGTGTGAAAAAAAATATATATCGTCCGGTTGTCAGTGAATAACGATGGTAGGTTAAACGTGAAGAATAAAATTTTCTATGATAAGATTCAAGCGCCGTATTGCAAAAGGAATTACATTAATCACTGTAATCTCAGATAGAAGAAAATCAAGTTAATTAACATTATGTAGGCTCACTCCTTTTTCATGGAGCACTCATTTGTATGCATAATTTTTATTTCTTATTAAATCGAACTCAAATATCATTCCCGAAAAACTCGATAATCACTCTAAGGAAAATATTTCGTTTGATTATTAGCCTACTTACGGGCGATTAAAAAATCCCTCAATATTAATTCAACTAAATTAAATCGCCTCATTAGTATAGTCTCTCGTTAATACAATAGCTAAAAATATTTGATATTATTTAATCCGCAATAACTGTTCACTGAAAACTATACTGATAGCTTTATTGCCTTATCTATTATCGTATCTATTACCTTCATAAAACTAGTTACTATGCAACAACTTCTATTTGATTATTTAAAGCTTACGAACGTACTCAAAGTATAGTCTGGGTATCAAAAGAATTATTATCTAGACATTGGCGTAAGCAACAAAACATTAAAACTTTAAAACACAAATAATATAATTCCAATTACAATTGTGTACAACGAGGATCGAGCCACAACTTTCCCCCATATGGACTTTTATCAAATTTTTATAATAACAGCGTCAAATAAAAAAAAAATAAATAAATAAAATAAAAAAAAGGGAGATCTGATGAAATCCAGGTGGAATTATATAGCTCGGGTTGCTAATTACTCCACTAACTAGCAAAGGAATGTTTTCTATTCCCCTCGAGACTTTTTCCTCTATCATAATTACACCGGCAAGATTAAGAAGTCTTTAGGCATAATGATTATACCACTGTGTGCAAAGGTTTCAATCGAAAATTCTTCAATCGGCAACGAGCGATTTTTTCCTTTACAATTGTTTACATCAAAGGCCTGCACGCGCAACGATCGATCGCTTATGCACTAATATAGGAAAGACTCGCCGGTAATTTTTGCCAATTTGGCCTCCCTGCGCTGCTTTTAATTTCACCGGTCGAAATTTTCTGCTCTTTATAGAAATCGCGGATCCGCGAGTGGAAAATTCACTCGCTGCATTACAAAACTGTCAGGACTTCAGGGAACATTCGCTGTTATGTGCCACTCATAATAGCCGCACATTAAAAATTTCATCGATATTGCACTTGGACGCTGTCGCCGCGAAAAATCCGCCTACGCGGTTGAAAATTTCGCTGTGACTTTCAAAGTACACTGGATTTTCGTATGCGTATGCGGTGGCTAATCGGCGTCTAATTTTCTCGAGAACTTGTCGTTAGCTTCGGAAAATGTAAATGGCGCTGCAGAGCGTAATATTTTCCTTCTCCTTCTTCTTTAGCCTCTCCTTCTTTTATTGCGAATAAAATAAAAGTAAGAAAAAGACAAGAAGTCACGTAAGTGCAAAACAACAAACGCTCCATAAATAAGCGAACACGAGCCGATGTTCGAATAGCTAAAATCAATGTTTGCACTAAAAATTTATTTAAATACTTTAGTACTTATTTGACAAATGTTGCCTTACAGGTGGTAAATGAATTTTATTCGGGTCTCGCTTGGTTTTCAAAAAATATTTCATACAGGAAACATTGCAGATAAATTTTTTAAATTTTATTTCTACACTAAGAACTTTCAATTTTATGATGAACATTTAAAAAAAAAAAAAAAAAAAAAAAAAAAAAAAAATAAAATAAAAAATAATTTACTCCACAGCTTAATGCAAATGTATTCTTATCAACATTTTTGTAGATAAAAAATAGTATGAAAACTAAATTTGGTATATTTATTATTGATAAATTTTTTGTCTGCAATAATTTGTATGTAATTTTTTTTTTTTTTTTTTTTTTAAATTATACTACCATATATTGCACGTAAGTATTTAAATCATCGATGTTTCTATGACTTCGTGAAATTTAAATGATTCAATGATTATACAAAGTCCGTACAGTCTTTAGCATTATTTTACAATTTCGTATAGATTTTTATTCATATAAAATTAAATGGTATAAGTAATTTAACCTCCGCATATCGCTAAATATACGCAAAAAATCGAGTCTGCATTTCTATTTTGCCTTCTTTTTTGGATACGGAATACGTACATTGTTGCAAGACAGCCGGTTTCGCACATGCGTCTGTAAGCCAAGAAAGACTGCACGATTAGAGGAGATATCGGCACTTATCGAATTGTTTATGCAATCCCTCGGCTGTTGCTGTCCGTTCCATTTTATCAATTGATTTTGAAGAAAGCAAAGTCGCGTTCGCTGTTAAATAAACTTTAGAAACTGTATAACCGGTCTAAGTACAAAGAAACTCGCTTATATCTATTGAAGGTGTGATCTCATCAATTTCTGTAAGTAATTTTGGCCATTACCGTTAATAATTTAACTATGGCGCGAGGAATCATTATAGTGGACAGGAAGTCGAACGGTGAATCGACCAATTGTTAGTGCGTTCGAACGTAATGCGTGCAAATTGAAGCCTGAAACGTTATCGTTCACCTCATAAAAATAATGATATAGTATTTTTATTCTATTTTTTTTTTTTTAGAAATACCTCTTACCTGCTGCGCCCAATGCCTCATTTGGGTTAGATAATATTAACAATAAAACTAATATTAACAATTTCAGCATATTTACATAACTTATAAAGATCTTTTTTTCAGCTTAAATTTTTCGATTAAATTTTCGTAATAATTATGAATAACAATATTTACTTAATAATGATAATATTCAAGGTGATGTTTTAATACATCCACTGAATTGCGAATTATAATTTATATGAAATTTGAAATTAAAATTAAATAAAAAAATTTATATTTTCAAATTAATTTCAGTAAACTAATTTCATAGATATTCAGTTCCTTTTTCTAAATATTTCTTATCAATATAATATGGTCTATATAATATAAGCAGACATTATAACTACATTAATTTGAAAATTACTTTGAAAAAAAATATATTGACAGTAAATTTATTTTATCCCTATAATAAATCAAAATTAAACCAAAATACCAGGTTAGATATGTTTTATAAATTTCATATGCTTACAAATGCGTTGTTTCGGCAAATGAAAAAATGATGTTAGAAAATAATATAATTGAATAGAATTTAATTCAATAAAAACTATTAAATATTATAATGACTAACCAAATTAATTTATATAAATGAATATAACGACATCTGTGACGACATGAAAAGCTTACATTTAAAAGATACAGTGTGAACACTTTTACGTCGATTTATTTTCAAAGAGCGTAACTTCCTGCTCGAATAATACTCTACATTATGGAAAATCGCTGGCATGAATCGGAAACTAAGCACAACGAAGGAACGTTCATAAAAACAATTATTAATCATAAAATACATAAATTTTATTCTACGGGAAAATTATTATATTTCGAAATATAAGAAAATTAAAATAAAGAATAGAATGAACTGACAGAATCGTAACCTGCCATGGAGCTTATAATATAGGTTCAATTACGGTGTATTGAATTGAATTGTCCATTTTTAGAATTACCATAATGCTAGTTTGTAAAACTTTCTTCCTCTTATATCTTTTATCTGTTCAGTCTTTCGTTCTTTTTCTCGAGAGGCGAAGAAAAGTCAAAATTACGAGCCGTCTTATATGAGATTATCGAAAAGTTGCAGACCTCCGATAAGTGACTACATTTATCTCTCATTGTTTCACTTTATTTTCTTCTTTCTATATTTTTTATTTTCTCCTTCGCGTTTGCTATTTCATCCCCCCCCCCCCTCACTCTCACTCTTTCTCTTTCTCTCTCTCTCTCTCGCTTTCTCTATCAATCACATTTTCTCTTGTTACCCGGATTTTATCAAATTGCAATAACACATATATGCAAATGGAATAAAATATAGATATTTTATATTGTAGATAATAGTTACTTCCGATAATTTTTCCAATAATCTATGTATTACAGAAACATATATATATATATATATATATATATATAACTAAGATCAAATATTACAAAAATACTTCTTACTTAAAATGTTGTCATAATTATTCAATTTTTTCTTTTACTCATTTATCTTTTAACAATTTACTTTGCGTAATGGTAAGTGCTTATATTATAACGGCTTAACACAATTATATTTTCATTGTTTTATTTAATTTTTACTTATTATACGTAGGTTAATGTGATACACACAAATAATAA